CATCGAAGGAGCATCTCTCGGTTTTCTAAGGCCCACTTATAGATGTTCTCAGCTGTGTAGTTAATGACCTCCCTGGGAAAGACCTGTAAAGGACAAACACACAAAGGATAAAACGCAGGGCACATAAGCACTGTCCTCAAGAGGCCTGACCAACCCCATCGCTTCACAGGTGAGGAAGATGAGGCTTAGAGGGACGACACAACCTGCCCCTACTTGTGACGCTAAAACCTGGCTCTATTTCTCCAGACAGAGCATCTCCTCACAAGTGGCCGGAAAAAGCAAAAGCGGTTGCAAGAGGTGACTTTCATATCATGTGATTCATCTTTTTCCCTTTAGGCAGATTCATCGATCAGCAGGTAATTGTCCCTGTTTGCTGCTGGCAACAATGACCTCTACCACCCTGTCCAAGGGGAGCTATTAAATGTTACTGGGTCTTTATAAAAGGACCAATGAATATTTAAGAAAAGAGAAACTATGGAGTCACAGATCACTTAGATTTTTACCTTGGTCCCTCAAAAGTTGGCTCGTAAGGGCAGGAGGGAACCTTCCATTAGGGCAAAATTTTTATCTGTTTTGCTCACCTGTAGCCCCAGTGACTAGAACAACACCTGACACAGAGCTGAAACTTTTTTTGATCCATGAATGACCTAGAACTTATAGAAGGCCACGAATCATGTTTTATGTGTACAGAACGAAGAGAAGAGACACTTGGAGTTTTTGCTTTGTTTTTCTATAACAACCGAAGTGTGTCGACATAAAATTATTTTTGAAATTCCAATAATATAAATCACTGGGCTTCAAACGAAACTCCCAAAAAAGTGTTCAAAGGGTTCCACAAAATAAGATATTTTATACTCCTCTAAAACAGAGGTTTAAAATGGCCTTATAACAAAGATGTCCACTGCTTTTATTTTTTTAATAATATTTTTAAAATGATATTTCATTTGATAAAAGGAGTTCTGCTGCTGAAACAACCGAGCAACCTTAAAAACTGTGGAACTGACGCAGTAAACCCAATATATTTTTCAGTGTCACTCACGGCCCTACCTTTTCTCCATCTATTTTATTCCTCAGCACTCTTTATTATAAATATGGCATATGTTGATTGTATAGCATGCTATAAAAGAAGAATGAAGGAAAATGATAGCAAAAGCAGATGAAGTCAAGAGAAGCTTAGAGGCACAAGGAGAGAGGGGGCAGCGGAGAGACAATCAGCGGTGATTCTCAAAGTGGGATGGTGGGAGTTTGAAAAATCATACTCAAACACCATAATAAACATTTCCACTTAGAAAACACGAAAATACATTTCATTTTTGGAATATAAACTCCAAGAAGAAAAGCACAACATCTGGGCTATTAGAAATATGCAGAAGCCAGGGTGACTGGCAATCAAGGAGGTGCCCCCTGGAGAGGGCCTAACAGCACGTACAAGGCAAGAGACTTGCATGCTAAGCCAAGAAGAGCATAGGTTTAAAGGGTTGGGGTCACTGGGTACAGGAATACTGGCCTTCACTAGACCTGTAAGTCACTGACACTGTCAATAAAGTTAGAGATAAAAAAATACTTAAGAGAAGTAAACTCTCAGTGATGGGACTAAGGAAGTAACACTAAACAGAGCAGAAGCACAAGACTAGCAGGATACAGGTCAAAAGCTCAGAAATAGCCGATCTGAGGGTGGTCTACCAAAAGCTAATGAAATCAGGAACAAAGACGACAACGGAAAACTGAGGCTCTCTAGGTGAAAAGCCATCAGCTTCTCACTGTGACTTGATAAGAACTTCAAAATCCATTACATCAGCTAAGGAGAAAAGCATGTCACATTACTACTCTTGATAAATGGAACCAATGAACAAGAATATCGCCCAATGGAAGCTTAACCTGAAAACCTGGACCCATAGTTACAATTCAACAGAATTTCACCTAAGAAGGAAAACTAACAAGGCTGTCTCAAAACCTAAGAATATAAACAAAGAATTTCTAAATGTTAAACTCAAGAGCCCTCTCATGCATGGGTTCTTAATAGGGGCATGGGCTCTTAAGTGGGATTATGGGAACCCTCAATCTGCGTATAAAATCACGTGTACTTTCCTAGGGAGAGTGTCCATAGCTTTTATCCGAGTCTCAAAGAAGTCTGTGACCTAAACAAGGTTAAGAACCGCTACACTAATATAAACGTGATTTCAAAATACTTACAAGTGATGTGTTGAAATGTCTATGTAAATACACACTTCCAGAGTGTACTAAGGATACCAGTTTCGCAAGATGTTTATTTGTGATAACCCCAAATCGTACTGTTCCTAGGTAATCTGAAACAGAAAATTTTCCTTCATTAAAGAAAAGGCCTATGCCTTAAAACAGCCACAAAACCCAGTGATCAAGTCTTGATGCACAAATTCCCCAGAGCAAAGCTCTTTTTGGTCACCTGGACCACACAGGAAAGGAAGAGGAGCTGAAGAAACCTCCTCCCAGCAGACCTCATGTCTGCTCCTGAGTAACGTCTCTGACAGCACCTGCGTTGCTTTGTCCGCCTGTGCTGATCTGACCTCATCTCCTGGTCCGCTGGTCCCTCTCGCTCACTAGCCCCACCTGGGAGCCCAGGCACGTGCTATTCTCTCTCTGCCCCGACACTTCCGTGGCTGGCTCCTTTTCATCATTCAGATCTCAGTTCCGACCTCACCTTCTCCGAGAAACCTTCCCTGACCAACCCCCCTCAGGGCTAACCCCAACTCAGAGGACAAAGTCTGCAGGGAGAACTGGGGCTCCCTCCCCACTCAGGTACTCTCTCTACCATCACCCTATTTTTTTTACAGCACTTATTAACATCTACATAATCTTAGTGATTTATTTAGATTTTCTTTGGTCCAACAACCTCACAAGTTCTGTGTAATTAGAAACCTGGTTTATTGCTGTTAGTGCCTACAGCAGTGCTTGGGCAAATGATAAGAGATCAATACATACTGGTTAAATGAACGAATCTAGCACATACAAAGAACTCATACAAATTAGTAAAAAAAAAAAAAGAAAGAAAAAAGAAAGCAAGAAAGCAGTTAAAAATGGGCAAATCACAAAAAAGGAAATGTTAAAGCCTAATAATTACATGAAAATACATTCAACCTTACTATTTCAGAGGAAAACAAATTGAAAGAAAATACCCCGATTGCCCAAAATTTGAGACAGGAAATATCAAGTATTGATGACCAATCGAGAAATGAGTACTGTGATACGATGCTGGCGGAAATGGCAGCCACTGGGGAGAGTGACGACACAGGGCATTGCCTGTAGCCCCGCAATGCTGCTTCTGATATCCACATATGTGCATTGAGAGTCACACATGAGGAGAGTCACCAAGAAATACTCCGCAGATGTTAAAACAAGGGGGCAGGGCTATCAATACAACGTGAATAGATTTAAAGACATATATGAATGAAAAAGCAAGCTGAGGAAAGATAAAGTGTACCCTTTATGTCAAAGAAACAAAAACAAAAACAAAAAAGCTCATACGTTTTTGGACAGCTAATTTTGAATAAAAATCCAATTAAAGAGGTAGTGAGAAACATGGGGAAAAAAAAGCTCTCACTTATAAAACAATATATTTTTAGAAATGTATAAAGACTCTGAAAGGATAAGATTAGTTTATGTTGGGGGATGGATATCAAAGAGGACTTTATCTTTACGTGTGAAGCTTTATTCTCCCCAAAGAGTATATATAATGTAACATTTGTGTGATTAGAAATGGACTTGGATATTTAGTGTTAAAGGAGAGTGGATAAGATGTTGTGGGAAAAGGTACATTCTTTCTTATCCCCTTTCTGCTTAATTAGCAGACATGAAAAAAACATTAAACTTTAAATGTGACCAAGTTATACCCAAGTAGCTAAGATATAAAAATATCATGGTACTAAACACACGAAGTTTCTAGCTTACTCACACGAGCCCCACCTTCCGGCAGCAGCACCCTCTCTTTGTCAGAGAAGGAATGACTGCCCAAGATGAAGTGGTAGTGACCCTGTCCCTACTGCCATGCTGGACAATCTTTAATACAGACCTGATGAGTTTAAAATAGCACAGAACCAAAGAAACACAGGAAGAATAAACCAGAAACTACAGAGGTTGGTTGCTTTTAGGAGCGTGGCAAAGATGGGCAAGAAAGAAGAATGGGAACTGAAGAACACGGATGAGGTGGCCTGACCCTCATTCGAGATCTTTTTGTACCAGACTCTTGTTTCACACCATTCACATGCTCAAAAACTAAACAAATCATTAAACCAGCCAAGATGTGGGGGACCTAACGTGGAATACAAACACTAGCAAATACACCTAACTATACCACAAATGTACCACAGCACAGTAAAGGGATAAAAGCTTGAAGATTAGAAACTGAGTAACTGGAAAATGTGTGTTGACTGGATACTGTTAAACTAGGGACAATGAGAGTCAGGATTCTCCTGGCAGAGAGAAAGAAATTATATATTAAGAGGGGAAGACAAAAATGAATCCTGTGCTGCTAGATTAGAATCAGAGGGAATCAGTGTAAACTTATGGCTTTTAACACTCACACACACACACACACACACATACACACAGAGCTACGGCTGTATACATATGTATGGGTATAAACACACGTCTGTCCTAGCTCATCTGCTGAGAGGGCCTAGCAGTAATAACACCTGATACCTAGAGCACACCTAGCACCCAGGTTGTGGTTGCCAAATGACGTTCTCCACTAAAAGAAACCAGGGAGGGCTCCTTGGAGAAGAGGCTGATTCCAGAGCGGGGACAGGGAAAGTACAAGATGCGCCTGGAGCATCTTGTGGTATCAGAAGTAAAGAAGTACTCATGGAAGGATGGGGACTTGTTCAAAGGACCTGAGGGCCAACCCAAGATGCTGCTAATGGCCAAAGCTGGAACAATTTAGGCAACAAGTAAACAATAACCAGTATTCTTCAATTGTCAAGGTCATGAAAGACGAGGAAAGACTAAAGAACCGTCATAGGACAGAGATGAAGGAGAAAAAAAATAATTAAATGTGATACGGGATCCCAGATGAGATCCTGGAACAGAAAAGATATTAGTGAAAACACTGGCAAAATTCAAGTAAGGTCTCCAGTTTTGTTAACAATGAACTAGTGTATAAATGTTGAATTCTTGGTTTAGACAAAAGCGGCCTAACAAATGGTTATAGACTATGTTAACATTTGGGGAGGCAGGGTGAAGGTAGGAAACTAGTCAACTCTGTTAGGCAACTTTTCTGCACATGTAAAATTTGTTCAAAATTTAAACTAAAAAAAAAAATTTATCTCTGTGGTTAGCGTTAAGGTTGTTTTTTGTTTGGGGCCTTTTGCATAACACTTTAATATCAGACTACTTTATTTCGCTTAAAACCATTTGCCTTAAATTCAATTTTTAATATTAAAACTTTAGTTTAGTACACACATTCTGAGGCAAGAACTACCTCGGGGAGGCAAGATGTTAAATTTTTAAAAAATGGTATAATGTAGAAGTTCAGATCCCCAAGCTGTCAGAAGAAAAAGCAGGTCCCAAGACAGGATATGAACTGGTAGAATCAACAGACACCACTCTGCAGGAGGGGGCTGAATCTTGGTGGACAGCCATAGCTACAAAGAGAAGAGAAGGAAAAGCGGCCAGTAAGGAAATTCACTCAATAGGCTGCCAAAGTCACCAACATGGTTTACTGAAGCAGAGAAATAAGAAGTGACAGCTTGACCCAAAAGTTGAAAGAGGCCATTCAAAAACTTGTTTAATTAATAAGAATGGATAGCCTGCCTACAGAGAACACATTCTAACATGCCCAAACATATTACAATTTCAAAACTTTATTTTCTACAAATAGAAAAACTGACAAAAATCACACATCTACTGAAGTCCCTGCATATGCTGGAAATCTTACTGGAAGAAGCAGCTTAAATTTGCTGTCTCATATGTACGAAGAGTAACTGAATTAGCAGAGGACGCTCACAGTATAAGAATGACACAAGAAAACAATACTTCTCATCTCCCTATCCAGGACATTTTGTTAGGCAAGGTGCCATGACTTTCTACAATAGGGGTCTACGTTATACATAAAATTGAATAATTTTGATCTATAAGTAATAAAACTTCAATATTTAAGGACTCTAAATTTGTTGAATAATTAAAAATCAATGCGGAATAATGCTTTCTCCTCTCCCACAAAAAAGGTCCAGCAATGGCATGATCCTATTCCATTAGTCGAAAATAATAAAATAAAAATTTCAATAAACTCAGTTAGCCAGGTAACTGGCCAGTTTACAGTCTCTATTAAGCATCCAGTGAAAGGTGTCAGAGAGACCACTGCAAAATACAAGATCTTGAAAGAACATCTGGGTACGAATAGTTAGTTACTGAGTGGTTACGTGCAGCTAGTCGTGTAAGGCAAGGTGACCACAGCATGGAGACTGGCTTGCCTGCCACTTGCTACAAAAAGTGCTGAGCCCTTGGTCACACGTTCCTCAGCTACAAGGCAGCTCACTTTGCACACAGCCACCACATAGGCCCACTGAATCAGGTCTCGCATGGGACGTGGGGCAAAGGGAACCGACACTAGCAGGCTGATTCGCTGTTGGTGTGCTTTGAGTAATAAATGGCCTTGCTTTGATCTATTAAACTTTACCTGCTTTGGCGCTTATGCAGGTTTATCCCTTATTATCTTTTATGAGGTTGGGGTTCTTCCCTGCCACTAACGGAATGCTCCAGGCCCTCTTCCCACACTCCCCTAGGTAGAGCTTCCACTGACCTTCTTCTGCCTTCCGTGTACCACTGTCACCATTTACCTCGTGGTAACAACCAAGGATGCATGGAGAACGGCAGGATCTGAGTTTCCATCTGGTTTCCACTCAGGTTCATCTGGCTCACTTGCAATCTCTCTGGTTTGCATTAAGGTTTGTTTTTGGACTTTTGTGTAACATTTCAATACCAGACTATTTTGCTTAAAACCATTTGCCTTAAACTGTTTTTAATATCAAACTTCAGTTTAGTATTAGGGTAAAAGCACATGATTTCTGAGGTAAGAACTACCTCGGTGAGGCAAGATGTTAAAATTCTCAAATATTCCAGGAAGAATAAGAATAGTTTCTTCTATTAGGAAAGAGAATAGATTTTTAATTGTGCTTTAAAATTAATAATAAAGGGTCCTGCCAGAAGCAAACTTGACAACTCACACTTTCTACCTAACAGGCTACCAGAAGCACACTCTGAAACGTCAACACAAGGATACACATGCAGGAGACTGAGTATGTTACAAACAAGTGACTTTGCCCTGGACACCTGG